TGTCAGATTGACCAACATGACAAAATGAGAAAATGATAAATGTTGGAGAAGATGTGGGGAAATTGGAACACTAATGCATTGTTGGTGGAGTTGTGAAATGATCCAACCATTTTGGAGAGCAATTTGGAACTGTGCCCAAAGGGCTATAAAAATGTGCATACCCTTTGACCCAGCAATAGCACTTCTAGGGCTATATCCCAAAAAGATCACAAAAATGGGAAAAGGACCTACATGTACAAAAATATTCATAGTAGCTCTTTTTGTGGTGGCAAAGAATTGGAAATTGAGAGGATGCCCAACAATTGGGGAATGGCTGAGCAAGTTGTGGTATATGAATGTGATGGAATACTATTGTGCTATAAGAAATGATGAACAGGCTGACTTCAGAAAAACCTGGAAAGACTTGTATGGTCTGATGCTGAGTGAAGTGAGCAGAACCAAGAGAACGTTGTACACAATAACAGCCACGTTGTGTGATGACTAATATTGATAAATTTAACCCTTCCTGGCAATACAAGGATCTAAGACATCTCCAGAGGCCTTGTGATGGAAAATGCTATCCACACCCAAAGAAAGAACTATGGAAGCCAAATCGTTATTTTTTTTTCTCTTCTGTTGAGTTTTGTTTCCTCTTTCTGATGGTTCCTCCTATTGGTTTTAATTTCTACTTACAACATCACTAACGTGAAAATATGTTTAATATGAATGTAAATGTATAGCCTATATCAGACTGTGCACCGTCTTGGGGAGGGTGGTGGGGAGGAAGAGGGAGAAAAATTTTAAACTCAAAAGCATATGAAAGTGATTATTGATAAATCAAAACAAGTTAATAAAAATTTTTAAAAAAGAAAAAGAAAAAAAAGGAAAAAAAATAAATCTATGATCCTAAGCAGTCATTCCACCTTCATTTGAAGACTTCCAGTGAGACAGAACCCACCACTTTCTGGGGCCAGTCCATCTCACTAGGAAGAGCCTGTTTTCTCTTCTTCATTTTACAGAAGAGGAAACTGAGGCCTGAAGGAGAAACTTTGACACGTGCCATTTCTATGAAGCTCAGTGATTTACAGAAGCCCTTGAAGATAGATGGTATAGAAGAGATTATCCTCCATTTTACACATGAGGAAACTGAGGCTCCAAGAGGGGAAGAGACTCGTTAAAGGTCCAACAGAGTTGCAACCAGAAAATCAGACTCTTGATTTTAGGTCCTTTCTACACCCCTACACACATATCTCCCTTCTATCTCCTCCCCCCCCCCCAATTGAATACTTTTCTCTTCATTCCCAGGCATTCTGTTTCTCCTCAGTGGTCTGCTGTATTGAATACCTTGCCCTGTCTCTGGTTGAGGGAGGGAAGAAGGAGACAGCTGGCCAGCTGCCGCTGGAATAAATTGATGACACTGCCTGAGCTTCCCCACCTCCAGGCACACTTCCTAAAACTCCACTGTCAAAGAATAGACTCCATGAATACTAGAGCTGGAAGGAACTTTAGAACAGAGGATGTCCAAGCATGATGACCTTACAACATGGAATGTTACAGATAGGAGGGGTATTAGGACATGAGATGTCAGAGGCGGAAGTCTATCCCTTTCATTTTACCGTTGGAGAAACCTAGGCCCAGAGGGAGGGACTTGTCCCCCAGGTAATAAGCTTTGTAGTGAGAGAGCTCCAAATTCAGTCTCCTTGCCTCCTCCCTACTATCCCCCTTTCTCCCCACCAATCCCCTGCCTTGCCCTCTGCCTGGGAACCCCACGTACCCACAGTCCCACAGCCAGAACCACCACGAAGTAGATGACAATAACTGAGATGTCCGCGGCATTCTTGATGCGGTCCGACGAGAGGGGAGGCGCGGGGGTCCCGGCAGAGATGCTGGGTCTCACAGTTGTGTCCATGGTGGCAGCAGTGGCTTCTGTCCTGTCCTCACTGTGGCAGGTCTGTATTCACCATCAGACAGACCGTCCGGTGCCGTCCTGGGGCTCGCTGCTTGCCTCTTTATGGCTTCTGTGCCAGAGCTCTGTCTGCCATCTGTGTTAATGATCAGCCCCAGTCCGCCAAGGGGAGGGCACAGAAGGAGGGCAGGGCAAAGGAGGGAAGAACCAGAAGGGGAATGAAAGAAGGGCAGAGTAGGGGAGGGGAGTACCCAGGTGGTGCGCAGCGGATCTTTCCATACTCTGGGAGAGGACAGGGGATGAAGGAAAGGGGAAGTTTGCCCAGCTGTTAAAGGAAAGAGGTTTGTCTGGAGGGTTTAAGGAAGGGGAAGGGGGAGTGCTTCCCAGGAAAGGGGTGGGGGTGGTGAGGTTTAGAGTAACATAAATTAGGGAGCAAGCGTGTAGACCAAAGATTGGTCCCTCCAGGCTCCTTCAGTCTCACTACCAGCGGAATTAAGTGGGAGGGGAGCAGTGCCCCCAGAATTAAACTCTAACTTGAGCCCCCAGTGCTGACCAGCCAGAACTCTCCTGACCCTACAGCAGCTTGTACCTCCTTGGACAAGAGGATGCCAAATGGAGCTTCATGGGAAGGGGTCCTCAGAATACAGCCTGGACACTCTCCCCACTCTGTGGGGTAGACCAAGGATCACCTCTAAAACCTCCAGCCTCTGCTTAAAGGTTCTTAAAGGCAGAGCCTGCCATCCCACCTCCCTTGGGGGCAGCCTTTTCCTCTTTGGGACAGTGCTCACTGATGTCAGGAAGTTCTTCAAACCAAAATTGACCTCTTTGCAACTTTACCCCATGGCTCCCTGTGGGGCCCCTCCCTCCTTCAAGGCCTGGCAGAGCAAAGCTCATCCCTCCTCCCCATGGCAGCCTTTCAGATACTTGTACACAGTTCTCCTGAGCTTTCTCTTCCCCAGGCTAAGCACTGCCATTTCCTTCAAAGGCTCTTCCAAAGGTCTGGTCTCAAGGCCCTTCCCCATCCTTGCTGCCTCCTCTGGCCATTCTCCAGTTTATCAGTGCACTTCTGGCAGGTCATTCTTCCTGTGGCCCTTCGTCCTCCCTTGCCAATGCACCTACAAAGTATATTGGGTATTATCTTTATCTTTGGGTGTGTATATTTTCCCCCAATTAAATGACATCATATAAAGGAAGATTGGTCACATCCCAAGGTTCCTATGATAATCAATAGTGGGCTTATCGCCAACCAACTCCAGCACCCCTCTGCCTTTGCCCCCTCTCACTCCTGGCATCTCCTTCCTGGACCGGATTCATTCTCTAAAGGATTAAAACAAAGGGAACCCAGGCACCTAAAAGTAAAATTCCCTGATCCCTCTTCCTGAGTACACCCACACCTCCTCCCGCAGATCACTTTGCTATAGGTGCCCTGAGCTGACAGAATCTGCTCTTTGGGGTAGTAGCTAAGGAAGTCAGATGTCCCTC